GATATTAGATTAAGTTTAGATTAGATTGATCAAATTGATCAAGTGATCAAAGGACCACAGTTGCCAATGAATAGCTGAATTCCACGAATGCTAGAGAATTTGTCTCACTCATTTTTTTTTCCTTTAAAAATCTGTGTTTTAATGTCTCAAAAAGAGCTTTTATAAACCAAGCATACATTCCCACAAATTTCTGTTGAAAAGACTCCAACTATTAGGTATTCTTTGATGGAAAACAGAAGAGAGGCTTTTGGAAATATTTCAACCAAATATTAAAAATGCAGATAAAAGGGAATATTCTAAAATCATTATGAATAAATGGTTTAAATGCAAAACATCAAGCAGAAAGATAAAAATTTTTATTTTCTCTTATCTTTAAGTCAGTCTATATTATTGTCATCTCTTTCAGGGAGACTTTTCACATATTTCATCATTCTGAGCTTCAGCACATTTCTACCAAGAAACTAAAAAAAAAAAAGTTTGAACCCATAAAGTTCCCACAACCAGGAGTTAGTTGTTCTCTTAGCAACATTCTCCCGCTGAGCTGGATGATGCTTCCTGGGATGAGCCATGACACTAATTTAGGCAGCAGCCAAATAATATACTATTGGCATCTCTCTGGGGTAAGAACGCATGAGTGAGCAGAACGAATGAGAATAGCAAGAGAGGAGCGAGACCAAAGGGAGAAACAAAGATAACAGACTTACAGCTTTTGCAAAGTCATCTGACCTCACTCTTCGGCATTTCCAAAAGGCACTGATGGTTATCCTTAAACTAAAACATTCTGTACCCAAAAGCTTTATTTTTGCCGATGTAATCAGATTGACAGACAATTTATTTACACGTTAATGTAAGTAATATATCTGAGCTTTGAAACTCAAGGTAAACTTGATTAAACTACTAACAACAACCCAATAATTTGCATAGCACATGAAAATTGAGATCAAAATGCATTTTGCCATTCTTCATTTGATATGAATTAAAGAACATTTAGATAAAACTACTACTGAAATACACTTGATCTTGGATGTTCAAAGAGACAGAATATTTGCTGACAGGGCAAAACATAAAAAGTGCAATCCTTTACCTCGTCCTTGACTGAGGACATGGAAATGCATTATCGGCATGTCGCTGAATCAATTGACAGCTGAATGAAATTACTTTTAAAACAAACAAATTTGCACAGCGCCAGAATTTCAATTTTCTCTCAAATCATAAGAAGATTATCATGAAGTAGATCAGAGGAAAGGAAAATGTGATTGGGGGGAAACAGAATGGCTTCAAACTGAATAAACTCGACTGAGGAAGCACAGTGTTTGCATTTCGTACACCTCCCCCCCTTTCCAATGTAAGTGTTCTGAATGGGAAAGAATTAAAACGCTCAACGAGTAAAGAATCTATTGATGTACACACAGCTATTCATAACTAATGTAGAATCTAACTCATTTAGCATGAACAAACTACACCAGGTGGTACAACGACAACATCGGAACGACACCTAATTGTTCCACGTAGGTACATCATAATCTTTTATTAACCTGCTCTAACAGAGGGATAAATGCAAAGAGCTGCAGCATATAAACAAGACATGAGGGCCGGGTTTTCAATTAATCAAATATGTATTTAATTGCTTGATAAAATGTGTCTCAAAGTTGCAACAACATGCCAAGCTCAGCAGCGTGTGTCCCCTTAGCCCTACCGGAAATGCCAAAACATGGCCAAACGGTGAAACGTAAGACAGTGGAGCTCACAAATACAGCCTGTGGCATAATTCAAAACAGTGCCCATTAGAAAAGGGAGTTCAGAAGAAAAACTTGTATTTATAAAACTGTAAAAGAACATATTGATCCGATATTGATCAGAGTCTGTAACTGACTCAGGAGGAGCAGAGTGCAAATCATAGCTTATATCCACTTGAACACATACAGAAAGCCTTTCATAGCATCGCCATGCTATTAATCTAATATACATAGACTCGATCGATCTCAGCTGGAACACATTCAGTATAGTGGTTAACATGTGACCACATAGAATATAATCAGAGAAATCTATTTCAATTCCATAAACGTTTACAGCCATTTTTGAAGTTATTTATTATTACCTTAAATCATAAGCACAATACAATTGCAAATATTGCATCAAAACATCAAAAACTATACACAAAAGCTGCAGGTGGAACAGCACAGCTACATTGAAAGACTTAACTTGGGCTTCCATTGATAAATGGAATAAAAATGTAACTCTTAATAGTAATTATTTTTCAAGAACCTGTATTATAAATAAAATGCCACAATAAATAACAATTCTTTCTATGATTAATATTTGCAACTCATGTGTTTTTTAACGAGATAGTTTATTTGTTAAATAAAACATTAAATTATCCTATTTGTGGTATGCACACATTGGTTCAAAAACATTTATGTAGACTAAATGCTTCACTTGACATGAATGTAAAGAATTCCACTCACAAATTTCAACATAATTTTTGCTACCTTGTGGCTGTTTGTACTTGAAAAAATCCTCAAGATGTGAACTCAACTATAGTTTTGACATGGACATTTGTTTATTCATAGCTTTTTTGTGGCTTTTTTCATGTTTTACATTGAAACTAAAACACTGGCAGTGAAGCAAAACAGCTTACAGATGCACTGTGATAATTCAAAGATGACAGTAAAATCTTGAATAGTTATGTTTTTGGTTGATATTAAAAATATAAATTATTTGACACAATATTAAAATAAACTCTAGATTATGTAAGACAATCACAGAAAATGGTGAATAAAGGCTGCACTTTCTTAAAACCCCAATCTTGCCAATATAAGAATGAAATTGCTATTGAACATGATGATTCAGGATTCCTGATGTGAATCATAACATAAAAACAAGTTTTAAAGACAATTATCTTCAATATTCATTCTTATCCTGTAAATAAATGTTAACTTTGTACTTCTATGCACCTTTGTGAAAACAAAAGAATTAGTATTTCAACAGTACATGTTCAAATCAAGATCCTCATATTCCTAGATGGATCTTAAATAAATTACTTTATCATCCTACAAACTGCATGTTATGAAATACAGAATACATAAATCTCAGAATCTTCAGAGAAATTTGAATTATTTTCTCAATTTATATGCAAAGAATTCAACAAAATTGTCTTTCCATTCCAGCTTTTTTGAAGATAAATGTCTGATGTAATTTTGATTTAAAAAAGAAAAGGTAGAAAGAATAACAACTATAATCTGGTGTTACAATTATTGCACCAAATCTATCATTGCTTGGACTGAGGTCAATCTTTTCTTACTAGACATAATCTAATTTCACTGGTATCTACAAATAAAAGACAGCTTCCATACTCTCTTAATTAAATCTGTCATTTAAGAGTTTCAAACTGGTTTGATAGAAAACATTTTTTTTTAAGTCTGAATAGATCGCTCCAGTGCTAAAATCTGGAACTTTAAAAAAGCATGAACACAAAGTCAATCACAGAGTAAATTTATCATGCAGAAAATTACAAAAAAATGAATGTGCAATCATGTCACGGCCAAAAGGTTGAGTAAAAAGAAAAGCAGAATTATCATCCAATAGAGTGTGATTTTCTTTGAAAACAGCACAACGAAGTGAGAAGGGGCAAGGTGTCAGTGACTCTAGCTCCTGCAGTATAACTCTAATGTCTGAACATGCCAAGGGCTACAATTTGTTCTGCTCCACAAAGTGGGTCTCTGTTGAGCTGGAACAGGTTGTAATTAATCTCTAGTGTGCTAACAAGGAGAGGCCAACTATTGCAAACAGACTGCAGATGGTCAAAGCACAAGCTGGAAACTGGTTTTGGTTTTTGATTTAACGTTAAATAAAGAACTAGATGACTTCAGTATAAAAGTTTCAGATTACAATCCATCATAATTCAATTTGGTCCCAAAAAACTGTATTACAAGAAATTTTATTAATAATTCTTTGAGGAACATACCATAGAGAAGAGGGTCTTGATAAAAATCGATGATTGAAAAAATTAAAGTTCCAAATCCACTCATATTTTTCAGCACACTCTTCTTCCGGTTTTAAGTGATTATAATAAAATTCTAGAGAAAGTCCCAGATTGATTGGTGGTTTTTCTATCTTATCCACAGAGTAAACTTTCCTCCCAGTAATAACAAAATTTGGCATCTTTTTCTTGTAAATGTTTGTAGGTCTTAAAAGAACAAATGTAGTAGTGAAGAAACGAAAGGAGAGCCAGCCATCAATCTTGTCTGGAGCAGATAGCCTGACTAACCACTCAATATTAGCATGTTAGACTTCTGCTTAAAGAGGAAACTTAAAAACATAAAAAAATGTTTTGCAATTATTGCACAAGATTCTGTGCAATTAACTAATGGAAACTTCAACCATATTTAGGTCTCAAATAAAAAAAAACATATAAAAAAGAGAAGTATAGCTAAATTGATTACAATGTTATATTAAGGTAGTGTTGCTTGCATTTTAAATAAATGTCATTTCCTATTGCACATTTTTTCCCTAGGTTATTGTACACCAAGAATTTCATACCAGCCTCTACCTATCACCAGTGTTACAGCAGTTATGCACTGACCTGATCTGGAGTACTACAACAATCATATCTTGATCCCTCAATATGCTTCTGTCACAACCAGAAGCAGCAGATGCATGTCCTCATTAAAACCACAACATTGAAATATTAAGTGACCACTGGATTTAAACGCCTCACTGAAACAAGTGCACGTAAATTCCTGGACTTTCCTAAAGTTAAAAACTTCAGAAATTACTTTGTTATATTCAGTTTTCCTCCAACAGGCTACCGTTTAAATGAATGACTGTACTATTCACATTGAAGATTCCCTCGCAAATATCAAGACATGTGTACTGCAAACAATTCCTTATTTTCACAGGCTATGTGTCAAAATGATGTGCAATCATATGTGAACATTGCTTTCAGAAATAATTCCAGGTGTGGATTTGAGCGATAAGGAGATAATGTGCAGGACACTTACCAGATTGAGCACCGTCTCCACAATATCCCGGTTGGAAACCTCGCCGACCTGGATGAGTCCAATAAGAACAGCAAATTTCATCTTGATATTCCGGATAGGAACCGCAGGGTTGATCATGCCTGCCGGGAGGACCACTGAACCTGAGCCGGACAACATCATTGGCTTCCCGGTGGCAGCAGCGGGGACCGCAGCTCCGCGACGCCCGTGACCTGGAGCAGGTTGACGGTCCGAGAGCGACAGCGAGTCCGGCATTGCCACCGGTTTCTCGCTTGCCATTTCCACGCCAACCCTGAGGTTTTAATGAAACACTGATAAAGGCTCTCCCCGGTCTCTTCGTGTTGTGTTTAATTACTGGTTAAGAGCGTTAGGAGGAAGAAGAAGAAGAAGAAAAAAAGAGAAACACTTGAGAAGCAAGGAGAAAACAGAAGCAAACCCGCAGAAGAAGCCGCTTTCTGTTGAGAGAAATCCACTCTGGAGAGTTCGGCTAAGGCAGTGTGTTGTTGGTACCAGCAGGTTAAGCAAGCTGACCGACCTGCGCTGTGAACACAAAGCTGAGTGCGCGAGCGCTTGCGTGCGTGCGTGCGGATCTTTTAGGATGCGCTTCTCCTCTCTGCAGCCGCTGTCACCGCCATGTTGCCGCCCCCTGGCTGCGGTTCCTGCGGTTCCTCTTTTTGTTGCTACATGGAGCACGTCTTGGTGGCTTCAAGCTCACTGAAGTTTCCAGAAATAGACCAAAGGGGGAAAAAATGATTATTTTACTATAAATGTCATTTTCGAAATATTTAGACTTGTTTTCTCGGGAATTTAAATCAGACAGTTCAAGTTTTATGTTGAACTGCCTCCTGACAGAACAAAGCGTATCTGACGCAGGTGCACATAATGACACCACTTTCGTTTCACATCCTCCGACGTTTTATAGGGCATTCCCAGTGTGTTTACAAACTTATCAATGACTGCCTAAAGAAGTTGATTGTAAATGGTATTGGATGCTGTGGATGTTTTTAATGGTTGCTTTGAAAATCAAAGCTATGCAATACATTTTACAGCTGTAAAGGTTTACAAAATTATGACTTAATTATTTGAACTGCGAGCCACATTAAGCAATATTTGAGAAAATTTGAATAAAAGCAAAAAAAAAAAAAAAAAGCGATGGTTGTGATTAACAAAGGCTGTTTTTGCAATAAATAGTGACTTTCAAATATATTCGTACCCATTAAGCTTTTTTATATTTTGCCACCCAACTCTGATTTTTCCACCTGATTGGTGGATGTCTTCTCCTCCAGAGTCACCATGGCACTTTTGGCTGAATGATGTTTTCGGCTATGGAAGTAGTTGGACAGACATGACTCTGTAGATTTGCAGTTGTGCCATATTCTTTGTATTTTGGGTTGATGGATTGAACAGTGCTTCCAACGATTGAAGTATGATCTCAAACACTCAATGTTTGAGACTGTCAAAGGTTGGGGTGCTATTTTGTAACCCAACCCTATTACCATCTTTTATTTTTTCCAGAAAATAAAGATAAGAAAAAGTTCAGCAGTAAACTTAATTAAACTTCCTAAAGGGCACGTAATAACATTTGGATGTATAATCAGAATAAACTACATACAGGTGGACTCTGTTGAAAATGGAGGTGACTTCATAGCACTGAATTTCATTTTTGGACACCAGAAAAAGAGAGGCACTACATAAAACCACAACATAAAAAAAAAAAAAATCGGATCTGGTTTATGCAGCTCATGCACTGTGAGGAACCTTTAGCATTTTGAGGTACAGCAGTTTTTCTTTTTGATCAGAGGGCAGCCTTCAGTTTCCTCATGCGTCAGTACATCCTTGGGCAGTTCACCTCTATTCCTTCCTTAGACCTTTATTTGAGCCATATGACATCTGCACATCTGGAATACCCCTCAAGAGTTGCAGTATTGGACATGTCCTGACCCAGTTGTTTAGCCATCATGATTTGGTCCTTGTCAAATTGTTGTTGCTTTTCTTACTGGAATCTATCTGTTTTGAGAAAAAAAAAATGTCAGCTTGCTGCCTAATATGTCCTGCCCACACACAGTCACTCATAAGAGATAAATTCTCCCTCTCTTAGTCTGGAAATCATTTTTTTCAATTTTAGGGTTTTGTCAAACTGATTTTTGATTTTAAGATTAGCTTCAAACTATAATTTCAATGCATGAAGCTAAACTTAACTTTCTATTAAAGTAATCCAGTGCTTCAAGTCCTGATTAACAAACGCAGTAAGTATCACTTTGTCTTTATTCTATCAGTAGCTCATTCAACCCACCTACTAAGTTGTGGATTGCAAATATTTAGACAGAAAATAAAGGTTTTCTACATGTAATCTGTTTTATTACTTTAAAAATGTGCTAAAACTGAAAGTATTTCATTTTGAAAGGCATTTTTACATCTCTGCTGAATATTGAGATTTCCCCTTGTCTAGCTTCAAAACTGTAAGATATAAAAAGGTAAAATTCACAACAACTAAATTATTCAGTACATTTGGATCACTTTAAAATCAGACTAAATGTCTCTGATACCTTGCAGTGGATGTGTTCCCCTGAAATGTCCAGTAGAGGTCCCTCTAACTCCAGAGCTGAGATCATTTCTGCAGTTTTACAAATAAATGTTGTGCTTAAATTTTTTTTCTGTCAGTCTCTGATAATATATAATTATCTTCTTGATTGCAGAAATCCTGTCAGCAGAACTTCTATTGTCTTTAGCATACCTTTCAATGCATTCACAGGTCTACAGAATGAACAAGCCTCACCTTTGATTCTGTGATTAAATGTTGGGAGTCAAAGGTGAGGAATGAACACCTCCAGCAGAGTTTGGTGTCAACATATTTTTGGAGAATTTCTACTTTTCCCTTCAGGGTGAGCTACTGTCAAGTACCAACTATGATTTATTTCTTGATACAATGGCAAGATTCAGAATCAGGCTGCACAAAAATCGTATAATAAAGATATTTTTATTTTAAAAAATTGCAAACAAACAAACAAAAACAAACAAACACAAGACTGAGTCTTTTACCTGACTGTATGAGCCAGTACCATAAAGCAGGTATGATCAAGTCAAACCTTCAGTCATTATTTTTCACAACTATTGGAGGTCAAAGTTACATAAAATTAGACATATTTAAAAATGTCATTACATGACCAAAGTAAAACCAGCTTACAATCCTGTACCATGTTTATTAAAAGAAGTCTGACCAAGTAAGAATCAATATATGAAATTAACATATGTACTATTTGCCTGTTCTCATATGTACAGAATGTACAATTTGCTCTTAATTACAAAATATTCACTCACAAATATACAAACACTTGGGTTTACATAATTATATTATTTAAATCTGTACTGATTAACTATAATGCTTCTCAGAAGCATTTAAGAGCTTGAATGTCCTGGACATTGTAAAGAATATCAATACATATTTATATTTTTGAACAAAATAATTCACAACAGAAGCTAAATAAAATTATAAAGTGAAGGACATTGGCAATTTAATTAATTTCCCAAATGAATTATGCTCAGCACCCAAAAATATCCTCCTTTGCCCATGTGCAAGTTGAAAGGCTTGAAACTGTTTTCAGATCTCTTTCACAAAAACAAACTGTGCTTTTATTCAGGGGCACTGTCTGTGCAATTCATGTGAGCCATTTAGAAATGACTCAACAGCTCAGTCCTGATCTCAAAGCTTAACAGACATAGCGGTTTCAGATTTTGGTTTCTGGCCCATCTGTGATCAGCGGCTGAAAGGAGTTGCGGATCCGGGCAGCTTCTGCGGCACAAAGGTGACCAAATGCTTTGTTGTACCAATCTGGAGTCCTTCCCCTGAAAGCAAAACCATATTCTGAATACCACATGCTAAATAACAAAACACGGCAAATGCATTCATTTTGTGATTTAGATTTAAATGTCTGAAAATTGTAGAACAAATTATTTTTAGATTTACTTTAAGTCAACTCTGCAGATGTGAGTTAGTCTTGACTTTCCAGAGCCACAAGGTTCCAGTAGGTAGTTTGACTCCAGGATCATAGCTCGAACTCCTTCTGTAGCAGAGGAATCCTCATGCTCTATTGATACAGAAACCAATGAGCAAGCACCCTTGGGCAAGTCTGTCCTCCAAGACCTTCGCAAAAAAGGAGAAGAAAACACAAAATCAAATTTTATAGCCTATTAGAATTAAGAGATGATATGTTTTTTATTTATTTTTAGCTGTCACTAACCTGAGAACTACAAAGTCCCTACTGGGATGAGGAGGCATGCGGCTGAGGACATACTGAAACACCTCTGTTTGTTTATCCAGTGTCTCACACACTTTCCACTGAAGCAAGTCCATGTCCCACAGGTGGCGCTCCCGCAGTATACGGTTTAACACAACGGATGGTGGTGCTTCCACTTCTACAGACACTCGCCAACGTCTTAAAGGATTTCCATCCCCCACCTGCCAAAAATGCCAAACATGAATATTTAACTCATTTTAAATATTTTGTTAAGGCAATCACAAAATTTTGGTTTGCTGATATGTAATTCAATACAAACAAATGTTGGGTGCCAATGAATTTGCTGTTTGACAATTCAAACCTCCATTTTGTTGTCAAACCCTGCCCTTTCATCCTTCCAACTTCCATTTGATACTAATAAATGAAGTTATTTTCTAAAATCAATAGATTACACACAAATGTACACAGAAATAACTCTAAGCAACATCCTGCTGCATATATTTAACAGAGCGATAAAACCATTTCTTTTTATTTTTTTATGCAGTAGACTATAAAAAGTTACTTAAAATCACTAATTGCCAAATTGGGCAGACGACTTTGCTTTATGACCAGAAAAGTGGAATGTGAAAAACTACAAAAGCAGGAAATGCAGTCGGGGCAAAATGACCAGCAAAGTAAGATTAAAAAACTGAAAAAAGACCACAAACCTTTTTGTAGTACAACTCTGTGTTATCTGAACTGCTGGATGACACCCAATATTTGGACTTTTCTCTGGCCTCTTTAAGGAAAATTTGTAGTCTCCCTTCCAAATGTGTTTGATATGTTCCATCATCCTCTTCCAGCTGCCTGCACAGCTCATCGATTGTCGGTGCATGTAATTCGGCCTCCACGTAAGAATTGCGTGACTGATTAACCATCTCATGAGGGATCTAATGGGTAAATCAAATTACAGGTCAGACTAGATCCAAATGAATACAGGAGTGGGTGTTGCACCCAGGAATGAAATATTTGCAATTTTCAATTACTGGCTGGACCTCAAAGAGATGATTGCACTCCATGATCATATGAGCAAGGCCCTGTGCTGCAGCTAAGTTTTCATTCAGATCCTTCTGGTCCGGCCTGCCTGTGGCATACTTTTTCTGCATGGCCCTAGAGAGAATGGGGGAAAAAAAAGTTCAATTCTAACAGAGTTCAGTACAACATCCTAAATAAATGGAGTATAAGCCCCTTCTCTCCCTTGTGGGAAACCCCTTTAGTCCTTTTAAAGAAATTTTAACACGATAGATTTACTTTGTTTAT